AGATCTCAGTCGTTGCATGGGCTAGAATGCCGGACAAGCTAACTATGGCACCCAAACTCCTGTGCTCTCGCCTCAGCCTCCCAAAGAGCTGGGCCTCAGGATGTGCCACATGCTGCAATGTTTTCTCTCGATAGTTTTTAGTGCAATTAATCTTTCTATTTTTTTTTATTAGAGATGGGATCTCCTCTTGCTTAGCTGTTTCAAACTCTTGGACCTTAGCGATTTTTTCTATGCACTTTTTGCCCCCTGGCCTTCCCAGAGTGCTAGATACAGGTGGTGAGCCACCACACCAGCCACAGGTTCCCTTAATGCATTCGCATGCTTACAATGCCCTTGTTTATTCCCACCACACTCGCCAGCGGACTGGAACCACTGAGAAACTTAAGAAGTTCTGGGCACGTGAGGTGCAGAAGGCACTTGGAATCCCCAGGCTGGTGGCGGACCTCCAGGCTCTCAGATAGAAGAGCCTGCAGAGTGGTGGAAAGTTCTAGACTCCAAACTAGGTAGCCTTTCATGCTATGCTCCTTTTTAACAAGTAAATCGAGCTGCCACTTACAATCGTGCACTGTGCATAAACTTTACTCAATTTGTTAAGACTGTCAATGTTGAGGGTAAAGAGCCAGTCTTCCCTGGCTACCATTTTCAATCCGTATAACTCATTTAACTTCTGTTCTGGCACACGGATCAAAGGCCAGAGGGGTGAGGCATCGAACACACCATGACAAAGAGGAGACCACAGGGAGGGACAGGGCATGAGGGACGTGGGCGTCAAAGACATTGAAGCTGCCTGGGCCCATTTTCCACATTGTGCCTAATGAACCGGTTAAGATTGCCTGTGGCTGGGTCCAAACAAAGGCAGGAGAGTGTGGAGGACGGAAGAGGCTTGGAGCCCAAAGCTGGGTCCCATCCCCAGCTTTCAAGCTGAGAACCTGGAAGAGACAGACCGGACCCATGGGTAAGCTGAGGAAGAAGCCCCCTCAGTGGGCAGGAGACTGAGCGGCGAGCACAGCCAAGAGGGAGGTACAAGACATATCCACATTACGCAGAGGCCTATAAGGCCACTAGGAGAGACTGGATTTCTTATGGAATAATGGAAGCCTGAGGTTATAGTCAAGGCTGTAGATAGGATCAGACTGAAGTCTTACAGACTTGGGCTGCTTAAAGAGGCAGTAGTGTCTTTACCTTGACCTCAGCATGGGAGCACATAGGCCATGCACCCAGTGGGGCTCCTGAACCCTGTTAAAAACGACTGCACCACCACGTGACATGCAAGCACGGTGTTCCACACATCATCTCCAAGTGCGTCCTACCACCTCTCCTCTCAGTAGTGAGCACCACCCCCCACTACGGAGACATGGAAAGAGGCCCACAGAGTGCAGCACTGGTAGCTTCACAAAGTTGATGTCAGCTCCAAACTCTTGTATTGCTTCGCGGGCTGCACACCTACAGAGTGGGGAGAATAGACTCCCAAAATGCTCTTGCCAACCCATATTCACCTCAGGCTCCTCTCACTCCTGCCTGATCCCGTCACCTGTCGGCCTTGCACTCTGCTGCCATCTTGTTGGACACAGGACTGAGTCTTGGACGGCGGGTCTGGCCCCTAGGGGAGTGCCAGGTGGGGAGTCGCGGTCAGGGTGTTGGTGGATCATTCGGGAGGCGGCGTGTGGAGGAAAAGGGGAATCTTTTTGGGTGGGGTCGGGAGGTCGCCTGAATGCAGCAGTCTCAGGGCTAGGCTGGTAGAAGGGCAGCCTTAGGATGAATGAGAGGTCAGCTGGTGCTCACCCCTGTGGGCTGTACTGTCCTCGTGAATGGGATGACTGGAGGTGGGGCGTTCTGTCCTGTGAGAGCGCCTCCATGCCACATACTCTACGCTGGGCCGGTACAATACGATCAAGATTTTGTATAAAAGGCAAGGCAGTTGGCGCGCATGGAGGCTCACGCCTAATAATCTACACTCTTGGGGCGTTAGGCGGGAGATCACTATTGAGCCAGCTGAGCAATAGCACAGACTCGTCTCTATAAAAAATTAAAAATACCAGCTGGGTGTTGGGGTGCAATGGCCTCTAGTCCAGCTACTTTTGGAGACAGAGGGCAGAGGATCACTGAGCCCCAGAAGCTTGGGCGTAGTGAGCTAAATCAATGATGCCACCTGAATCCAGTCTGGATCAACTAGAGCAAGGACCCTGTCAATCAATCACTAGCATCGGCAGTTGAGAGGGCCATGCCTCTTGTACTGTACCCAGCGCGAAAATGTATGCTTAAAGAGTCACTATATGATGTTTTATCATGCCTGACTCGTAACCAGGCATGAGGCTAAACATACAACTTAATCTTGCCTACTGAATTTGAGTTGCCATCAAGGGCGCACAGTACAAAGAAATTGCCCTTGTCCCCCTCCCAACCAAAACACAATGTACAATGTACAAAAGCATATTACAACAATGTTGTTAAAGGCTGGTCCTGCACGCCTAACTCTAGGCCACTCGGAGGGCCAGTGAGATCGTCAGGCGCGAAGTTAGAGACCACCCTGAGCAAGAGTGAGACCCCGTGTCTACTAAAATAGAAAGAAATTAATGCCAACTAAAAATAATACAAAATATAGCCAGGCATGGTGGCACAGCTTGTAGTCCCAGCTACTTGGAGCTGAGCAGGAGGATCGCTTGAGCCCAGGAGTTGAGGTTGCTGTGAGGTAGGCTGATGCACAGCACTCTAGCATTGTTTCTGGAGCATTCTTCCCCACAGAGGACTACAGGTGTTAATCAGCACATCTGGGTAATTTTTATTTTTTTTTTTGTAGAGACAGGGTCTCGCTATGTTGCTGGCGGCTCTGAACTCCTGGCATCAAAGCAAATCCTCCATCTCGGCCTCCCAAAGGGCTAGGATTACAAGGGTTAGCCACCATGCTTGGCCCCTTCTCTTTAACTGCCACTTCCTCACTAGTTTCTGTGTATGTGTTTATTAATTTATGGAGACAGGGTCTACTCTGTGCCCAGATTAAGAGTGCAGTGACTCAATCATCATAGCTCACTGCAGCAACCAATTCTTGGACCAAGCGATCCTCCTGCCTCAGCCTCCCAAGTATCTGGGACTACAAGTGCACACCACCCACACCTGGCTAATTTTTTTTTTTTTCGTAGAGATGGGATCTGGCTACTGTCCCAGGCTGTTATGTGGTGTGGTTAATTTTTAAAACTTCTTAAAACTATTAAAGACATTCAGAAAGGTATGAAATTTAATTTATAAAGATTTAAAAGGCTGGCAAACTCATCTGTGCTATTAGAATCAGGGTAATGGATACTTGGAGAGGTCGTGATTGGAGAGGGGAGGAAGGGATTCAGAGTGGCTGGTCATGCTTCTGTTTCTGGATTTAGATGTCGCTACAGGATGTCCCGTCTGTAAAGGTCATTCAGCCGTACTATTATGATTGAATCCTTTGCTGTAGGTTGTTTGTCAAGGACTGTTGCATGAAATGAACCCTAATTTGTTCATGCTCCCGGTATCCACGCCTTTGGGTAGGCCTGCTCTCACCCCGACTCTGGGCTAGCCGTGTGACTTGCTTTGGCAACGGTACAAACAGCAAATGTTACCAAAAGCAGAGGCTAAGAGGTGCTTATGCGCACCAAGAGCCTGGCCCTCTTATGCTGCTTTGGGAACTCCACAACCAGCACTGTGAGAACAAGCCCAGGCTGGCCACTGGATAATGACAGACACATGGCCAAGTCACCTCGTCGGTCCAGATGACATCAAGCCAACATGAGATGCGAATGAGGCCATCAACCCAGCCTCGACTTAGCTGCCAGGTGACTACTGAGATCAGCTGAGCGGCCCAGAGCAAAACGACCAGCCAACCAACAGATCATGAGAAAATAAGGTTTACATTTAAACCCCAGTTTCGGGTGGCTTGCCAAAGCACAAGGCTAACTAATATGTTAAATTTTAAAGTTATAAGAAAAGGTACATACTGCTTGAAAAAAGGCAAAAGGATAAATACAATTAACATCTATTATCACAGATTCCATACTGCAATTTACCTGCTCATAAAATGCATTTATCTCCCAAAATCAATACAGGCAGTGATTTTAGTCATTATAGACATGCATGGGGGAAAATTTGAGTCACCAACACACATGTTCCCAGCTGAGGTCAAATAAGGCACGGTGCTTCTTGGTTTAGCTCTCATACTGTAAACAAGTACCTTTTCCTGGGTTACTAATGCCACACATGTGAATGTTTTCAATGTTTATGCCTTTTATTGGATGTTCCTATTAAATGGCCCCCAAGCACAGTGTTGAAGGGCTGTGTAGGACAGCTAAGTGCAAGAAGGGTATGATATGCCTTAAGAAAAAACATGCATGTTAGATAAGCTTGTTCAGGACTGAGCTATATTGTCATTGGCTGTTGAGTTCCATTGATAATGAATAAACAATATATATAAATAAGGTTTCTTTAAAAGGAAACATCACATAAAATAAGGTATGTATTGACCAGCTAATGAATATGACTGTGAGGCTGCAAAACCAAACCTATCCGCTAGAGGCAATGGTCAGTACTAGGAGCAATGGTTCAGTATTCACTAATTCAGTGTATGTGGTGACTTCATAGAACACACGCGACTGTGTGTATAGCCACTCACTACCGTGTTTATTTTTTTCCCTAAGAGAAAAGGGTCTCAGATGGTTTTGTTTCCACCTCTGCGGACTGCGGGACAGACACAATGACCAAGTGTGTCCCCTCCACTGCTGGAGTGTAAGAATGAAGGAAAAAGGGACCCGAACAGACGGGACTCACCACTAGAGGTGCCACGGCGAATGTCACCTGGGAGGGGGCTGGGGCTGCAGGGCACTGACTCAGTGGCAGCTTTGCACATGTCCTGTAAAAAGATAGGCACCTCGGTCACCACAGCAGAATTGGGGACCTAGAGATATGAACAGTACCAGGAGGGTCAAACCTGACTTTACTCCTAACCATGAGAAGGCATCAGACACACCTAGACTGAGAGACAGTCTACAAAAGATCTGAACAACACTCTTCAAAACTATGAAGGCCATCAAAAAACAAGGAAAGACTATGAAACTGTCACATATCAAAGGAGATTAAGGAGACATGACAAGTAAACGCAATGTGGAATCCTGGACTGGACCTGGGAACAGATCATTGCTGGAAAAACTGATGAAATGCAAGTAGTCTATAGTTTAATCAATAGTAGTGAACTAATCTTAACTTTTTAGTTTTGACAAATGTTCCACAGCTATGAGAAATATTAACAGGGGAACCTTCATGAAAGAAATACAGAAACTTTCTGTACTACTGTTGGAACTTTTCTATCATCCCCAAATTATTCCCAAATTTAAAAGTTTAAAAAAAAAACAACAATGTTTTGCTCAGTGACCTTCTCTATGACAACTGAGAGAATGTCCCGGCTTGAGAAAGCCCTCACTGTGGGGTTCTGTCCTAGCTGATAGAGAGATGAAGGCCTGTCGTGAAATGGAATAAGCCACCAAAAATGACGCGAATACCCACAGCAGCTACTGTCTGTTAAAGTGGAGTGCTTGAGAACACAGCTCTGGAGTAAGTTTCCTTCGCGGTCAAGTGCAATGAGGAGTGACTGAGCTCACGTGGATAAGGGACGGAGACGGGCCTGGCCGGCCACAGCGAGTGCTGGGTGAGTGTTAGCTCCTGTAACTTAAGGAGCACTTCACCCCAGGCCTGGCAGGCAGGGCCTCGTACAATATCTGGTAGACGGCCACAGCCACCCTGCGCAGCAGGGGGTGTGAAAAGCCCATCTGAAAGAAACCCAGAAAGGTGGGTCACTATAAGTGGAGGGGCCCAGACTGCAATGGCCAAACTGTCAGTCAAGTCCCCACCATCTGGGTCCCACATAGGAAGCTCCTGTCCTGGACAGAGAGAGTCCTGGAGATGATAATGATCATGAGAAAGATAAGAAGTAGCAGTAATAGTAATTACAGAGAGTCTTTACTAAGTCCCTACTACAGGAAGTTGACACTGTGCTAGGACTTTATTTAGCTTAATATTCACAACACTCCTTCAAGATAGGTTTGCCTCTGCTTTTTACAGATGGAGAAAGTAAGGCTCAGAGAAGGTAGGCAACGTGCCCAATGTCACACAGCAGACGGGTGAACCAGCCCTGGAACCCAGGTCAGCCTGCCTTTGCTGTCAGGCCACCTGCTGGCTCTGCAAGTGCCCCTCCACCTCCACACTAAACCCAGAGACAGAGGGGCTGGGCGAGGCACCCCACCTGGCGGTGCACCACCTTGGCATGCTTGAGAATGGCAATGATGTCGCCCACCACGGTCACGCCCAGCTCATTCATGATTTCCTTGTTGAGATCCAGCAGCATGCTCTTCTGAATCCTGCAGGGGAGGGTCAGTGTGAGGACCCAAGTGGGCCAGAGTGGGGGGCCAGCCAGCTCCCCACCTCCCTCCCCCCAAGCTCAGCCCTGTGCCCTCAGCCACCTCACCTATTGTCCACAAACATCACAGCGTAATTGACAGCAGGTCCTGGAGGAATGCCGGCTTCCTTAAAGAACTGGATCCACTCGGAAGTAGCTGGGAGATTGGACGGGGCTCATTAGTCATGTCATTCTCTTTAGAGACAGCAGCAGCAAAACCACGGTCGCAACGGTCCCACCCACAGGTCGCCGAGCCCTGTGCTGAGTGCTTCACACACATGATGGGACTAAGCCCTCCTGACCCCATGAGTTAAGCAGTATAAAAATTCCTCCGATTTGCCAATGAGGAAACTGAGGCAAGAAGAAGTTGGGCAACTCACTCCAGGCTACAGTGTTCTCGAGAGGCAGAGATTCCAAACTCTGAACCCCATTAACCAGGCATCTCTGCCCATACAGCTCTGGCCTGCCCTGGATCACAGCGTGACTCTAAGCACTTATCAGACACGTGTGGCCAAGGACTGATTTAGGGGGACTAGACTCTGGGCTCTCTGCCCTGGTCCCTCTCAGCCAGCCAGCACAGAGGATGACAGGATCCACAGGTAGCTGGAGAGAAGGGTCACAGAGCTAGTCCACAAGCCTCAACAAGCCTCCTCCCCACCACAGGAGCAGCCCTGCCTCAGAGAGAGACATGGAAGTTATAACACAGGCTTTGGAGCTGGAGCATAGGTTCAAATCCTGCCCTGCCATTTCCTGGCTGGGAGACTTTGGGCAACTTAATTCTCAGTGTCTTGGTTTCCTCATCTGTAAATTTGGAATAATATATTTAACAAGTATTTACTGGGTACTTGGTCCGTTGGGGATACCACAGGGCACAAGAGGAAGTCCTTGTCCTGACATTTTAGTGATAGCAGCACCATCATCCTTGGGTCACTGTGCAGACTCAATGAGAAAATTCACATAAAGGGCTTTAAATGGTGGTTGGGGCCAGGCACGGTGGCTCACGCCTGTAATCCTAGCACTCTGGGAGGCCGAGGTGGGAGGATCGTTTGAGCTCAGGAGTTTGAGACCAGCCTGAGCAAGAGCAAGACTCCATCTCTACTAAAAATAGAAAGAAATTATCTGGACAACTGAAAAAATATATATATATAAACAAAATTAGCTGGGCATGGTGGTGCATGCCTGTAGTCCCAGCTACTTGGGAGGCTGAGGCAGGAGGATCGCTTGAGCCCAGGAGTTTGAGGTTGCTGTGAGCTAGGCTGACGCCACGGCACTCTAGCCCGAGCAACAGAGTAAGACTCTGTCCCAAAAAAAATGGTGGTCGGCACAGAAAACATCCTCAACCTATGTTAGCTGTTATTATTATTACTGTTACTACCACCACTGAACATACAGCCATGGCCAAGACTAGGCAGACTCCACCCATGAAGTTTTATTCTTTCTAAACTTCTTTTTTGGCCTCTTGGATATAACCTCCAGCTGACCTTGACCTGTCAGACCACATGGTAGATAAGATCATTGATTCTAAGTAGAATGTTTTTTTCTCACATTTTAACATCTCTGAAACTATTATAGGCTCTACTTCTGATTGTTGGTGCATCATGGCTTAATTAACAACTTTTTTCTTTCTCATGGTGTATAACAGTACATTTAACAATCCACGCTATTTTTTTTTTTTTTGAGACAGAGTCTCGCTTTGTTGCCCAGGCTAGAGTGAGTGCCGTGGCATCAGCCTAGCTCACAGCAACCTCAAATTCCTGGGCTCAAGTAGAATTCCCTGCCTCAGCCTCCCGACTACAGGCATGCACCACCATGCCCCCCTAATTTTTTCTATATATATTAGTTGGCCAATTAATTTCTTTCTATTTGTAGTAGAGACAGGGTTTCGCTCTTGCTCAGGCTGGTTTCGAACTCCTAACCTTGAGCAATCTGCCCACCTCGACCTCCCAGAGTGCTAGGATTACAGGCATGAGCCACCGTGCCTGGCTACAATCCACACTATTTTAGATTAGAAGAAATCTGTTATTACTTCACCCATTTTGCTTTGAAGACAACTGAGGCTCAGAGCAGGGAAAGAGACACTCTGGGTCAGATGTGGGTGGCAGTGTGGGGCACAGACAAAGGCCGTGAGCCACATCTCTCCCAAGGAGGCCCCTGCCCAGCTAGCCACACACAGGCCTATCTCCCAGGGTGCTAACTGGTCAAGCCCTTGGGGACTGAGGCTGGCAAAGAGCTCGTGCCCTTAGGACTTCCTCCCCTAGCCCAGAGGAAAGGGGCACCATTTTCCTACGTCACATAGGCACTATCCACCTGCCAAGCCACTGGGCCCTGGGTTCCATTAGCCAAAAGCAGGCACCTTCGTCTAAGTATCAAAAAGCACCACAGAATGATTCCATTTATATGAAATGTCCAGAACAGGCAAATCTGGAAAGATAGAAAGTCGATTAGTGGCTGTTAGGGGTTGGGGAAGAAAGTGGGAATGATTGCTAATGGGTATGGGGTTTTTAGAGGGAGTGATGAAAATGTTTTGAGATTGACTGTAGTGATGGTTGCACAACTCTATGAATAGAGAATATAAAAACTATTGAACTGTATACTTTAAATAGGTAAAATGTCTGATACATGAATTAGATCTCAATTAAACTATCATTAAAGGGAGAAAACAGGTTGGTGGTAGCTTTCTTTCTGAGACAAAGCCCGTGATTTTAACCACAAGATTACTGAAACCCAGTGTCCCAAGAACTGCAAAAGTCCCTTCCAGCACACACCATCATTAACTGCATTACTTAGAAGGAAAATTCAAGGCCAATTCAACTGCCACCAGCTGTAAGATGTACCACCACTTCAGAAATGTGAAGTTGTGTAACAATGTGTGTCTTGGTATTGAGTTGTGGCTTGCTGCACATACCAGGAAACATGTACAAGAATATTCATAGCAGCCTGTCTACAACAGCTACAACCCAGAAACAACTTAATATCCATTGATGGTAGCACTGATAAACAAATGGTGGCCACTCATGTGGTGAAATACTATATAGCAATGAAAAGAAAATATAGCTATGCATGGCAACAAAGAAGCCAGACACAAAAGAACACATAGCAAGGTTTCATTCATACAAGTTCAAAACCAAAGTCTGTAGAATAAGAATGTTTCCACTGGTGATATGACTACAAAAACAAGGAAAGATGTTCACAAAAGATAAGAGAGTAGTTTATTCTATCTGGAAAAGGGAGGGACTATGATTGGAGTAGGACCCTCAGCAAGCTGTCCATATTATATTTCTTGACCTGGATGGTTAGAGGAGCTTTGGTTTTCTTCAATCTTTTTGTTAAACTATAACATACAGGCAACAAAGTACACAAGTTGATACATTTGCCTAAACCAAACATATCGTAACCAGCACCCAGATCAAGAAATAAACATTCCTAACAGCTCAGAGTTTCCGGGCATTCCCCTTATGGTCCCTACACCCCCCTTCTAACAGAATAGATTAGTTTTGCCTGCTTCTGTGCTTTCTGTAAAGGGAATCATAAAGGATATACTCAAATGTTTCCTTTTTAATTGCTCTTAAAACCATGCAATTATGATTTTATGGATCTTTCTATATGTCCAATAAATCTCAAAATTTTTCACCGGCACCTACTAATCCCCATGCTCTGGCAAAACCGAAATACAGAGTTTAAAGAGCATATGGTGATAAGGCTGGTGATAGTGACAGTTCACATGTGTTGAGAACTATTCCTAAGATTTTCCTATTCCTAAGATAATCTCCTGAATTCTAGGATGTAGGGAGTGTTATCATCTCCATTTCACAGGTGAGAAAACCAAGGCTCTGACAGGCCACTTGAGAGACCCACGGACTTCATAATTCAAGTTCTTCAAGGCTAAACTACACACAGGAGCAGACAAGCGAGGAAGCAGGCCCCAGCCCCGCCCCTACGTTCCTCAGAGTACAGCTGTTCCTGCCAGTGACCTGGCCCTCCCTCCCCCACCCTGTCTTCCCCCACCAAGGCCATACCTCAAAAAGGGCAGTGGGGAGGGGGGGCCTGGAGAGAAGATGACAGACTCACCCATAGTCACGGAGACCATTGTCTCCTTGGCCCTGACGCTGCTCCCTGGAGCCTGGAAGAGAGAAAAAGGGGAGAGGGCCCATGAGTCGCCACCGGCTGTGAGTGTATGTCCCTCTCCTGGTGCCTGTCTGTCTGCCTGCCAGGGGAACGTTCCTGGGCTGGGGGCTCACCGCCCAGGAATAGCCTGGAGCAGCTGGCAGGAAGTCAGCCTGAGACAGAGCTGCCACCACAACTACCATTTGTGCCTGGGACAGGGCCCAGGGACAGCAAATGTCCACAGCTCCATTCCCACACGGCCGGAAAGGTCAGCTGGAATAGAAGCCGGACAGAAAATAGACACCCCCTACCTAAGACCCATTCATTCATTCATTCATCCAAACACTCTGTACTGAGAACCTACTATGTGTGAGGCACTTAAAAATTTTGAGATGAACAAAAACATGGAACTTGGCCTATAGCCGGGGTCAGGGGACTGGGGGGACAAAGAGTAAACAAGCAAAACAATTAAGAATATAGTGTGGCCAGGTGCGGTGCCTCACGCCTATAATCCTAGCACTCTGGGAGGCCGAGGCGGGCGGATTGCTCGAGTTCAGGAGTTCAAAACCAGCCTGAGCAAGACCCCGTCTCTACTATAAATAGAAAGAAATTAATTGGCCAACTAATATATATAGAAAAAATTAGGGGAGCATGGTGGCGCATGCCTGTAGTCCCAGCTACTTGGGAGGCTGAGGCGGGAGGATCGCTCGAGGCCAGGAGTTTGACGTTGCTGTGAGCGAGGCTGATGCCACGGGACTCACTCTAGCCTGGGCAACAAAGCGAGACTCTGTCTCAAAAAAAAAAAAAGAATATAGTGTGTTAGGAAGGCTTTGGTGTCATGGGGTAAACATACAGGGCCTGGGAAGGGAGGGGTTGCAATTTTCAATAGGGTGATCGGCAAAGACTCTAAAGTGACATTTAGAGACGCAAAGGAAGGGAAGGAATGAGCCTTGTGGTCTTACAGAGGAAGAGTGTCCCAGGAGGTACAAGTCCAGTGCCCTGAGCCAGCAGCAAGGAGCCGGTGTGGCAGTGGAGCAAGCACGGAGGGGACAGGTCAGGGAGCTGGGGCACCAGATCACGAGGGGCCCCAGAGAAGAAACGAAAAACCAATTTTCACTTAGAAAAGATGAGCAGGTGGTAGAAGGTGGAGTTAAAGACCTATCAGCACTCCTGGAGACTTTCTCCATTAACAGCAGCTTCGACAGGGAACTCAGGGAAATTATTCTCACGTGCTGGTTCGGTGCTGCGTGACTCTACGGCCACTTGGCCCACAGTGCCTGGCCCAAACTTCCTTCCCACTTAGCCTCCTCCTCTCCCCGGTGCAGCTCCTCTCCTCCACTCTTCTGCCCTCTCCCCTCACTCTGCTCCTTTCTACTCACCCAGCCCCCAATCCTGACCCCTCTCCCTCTCCCCCTCCAAAGGGTGGAGAAGGCCCTGGGCCCCAGCACCTGTTTGCCACCCCATACGATCTGCCCCACCCCACGCCACACCCAATTTAATGGTATAACAGCCTGGTTAAGAGTAAGAACTCCAGAACCGGGCTGCAGATTCAAATCCAGCTCTACCACTTACTAGCTGTGTGGCCTTGGCAAGTTACTTCATCTGGCAAGCCTTGGTAACCCCATCTGTGAATTGGGTTGGTGCAAACATTACCTACCTTGGAGGACTGCTGTGAGGGCTAGATGAGTTTCTATGGATGAAGTCACCTGAGACAGTGCTTGGTGCACACTAAGTACTCTGCTCCTTTCTTCCCACCCCAACCCTCCCTCTCCACCCAGGTGCTTGGTCTGCCTCCCAGTATTTTCACAGGATGTCACCTGTGCCTAAATGCCTATCTCCTCCTGTCCTCCTGACAAGCTCTCCTTCCCTCTGCTTGGTTGCCATCGCTTTGTGAAGCTTCCCGTAAGTCCCCACGCATGAAACTCTCTCCTCTACCCTCAGCTAGGGTTCACCCTGCCCACCTCTGGCTTCTGCTGAATCTCTTATTGATGAGCATGACCACAAACATGGCTCCACCCTGCACTTGCCACTCTTAGATCCACTTTCCCTTCCAGATTTTACCACTGGACAAAGACAATACAACAAGCATCTCTCAGAGAGCAGGCCATGGAGAGGTCTCGAGTCAGAGAGAACAATCTCTCACACACCAAGCACTGACTGTGCCCCGGGACCAGGGCCAAGCATCATGCTGATGCCTCACGACAGCCTCATGGGTGAGGGCTATTATTAGCCACATTTTAATCAATGAAAAAACCAACTCGCTGAGGTGCAGTCACTTGCCAAATGCCATGTCTAGCAACTGACCTTACTGGGATTCAAAAACGAGTTCTCCCTGATTCCAATGCCCATGTAGTCATTCCTGTTGAGTGTTTACTAAGTGCCAAGAACAACCACCCTAGGAAAAAAGTAAAAATGAGTCCCATGTTACAGATTAGAGTGGCAAGACCAAGGTTATTCAGCAAGTAATGGCGGGGTCAGGACTTGAGCCCAAGTCAGCCCATTAGCTATGGTTAGTGCCCGTCAGGGGATTACTACAAGCCAGGCACAGTGGCCTGTCTTTGCAAAGTCCAGGTTAATGCTCACCAGAATCCTGTAAGTATTGGTATTCTCCCGCTACTACTACAGAATTCCTTGTTGAACTCAGTTTCCTCTCTCCGCAATCTTAAAAGCACTGACTTTCTGAATAATGAAAACTTTAACAAAATAGTCATTTAAAAAATGACAGTTCCCAAAACTCAGGTAATTACCATGTACCAGACTCTATGTGCTAGGCCCTTAGAAGACTGAGATCCAAATCCCAATTTCACCACTTCCTAATCCTGACTCTGGACAAGTGGCTTAACCTTGCTGATCGCACTTCTCTCACCTGTACAATGAGAATAAGAGTACTAATAAAGCTGTAATAGAGATTAAATGAGTTAATAAACTCAAAGCCCTTAGAACAATGCTCCTGCATTAAACAAAACAAATAAACCTTCACTGAGGGACAGGGTGGGACAGTCAATGACCTAGTGTCATTGGTATGCAAAGTTTGAGTTGGGAACTGAGTATAAGACAACTTGATGGAGTCCATAGGATCTTACAACATGGGATCACATAGTACAAGTTATTCTCTCTTCAATTCTCTTTCCATTTCTGTCTATAATTTAATAGACTGTTCTGTTTCCATTGCATTTTAGGTTAAGTTTTCCTTCCTTTTATGGCCAGTAATGTTAGTTTTCCATTAAGATAGCAATGCACATTTTCCTTCCCAAATTAATTGACTGGAAGAAAATGTATCAGGTGTTTTCAAGAAAAAGAAAAATCTAATAGTACAGGACTCGGTGGAACTGGCCAAATAGTAAGTGGCAGAATGTCGATTTTTCCTGGCTCTAGTTCTAAGTTTTTCCTATTGCTGTCTCTGAGCTTCCTCCTGAAACCATCCTCATAATATTAATTCAAAGCAAGATGCTGGGATTTTAACAAGGACATAAGTCTTGAAGAAAAACAGCTAAACATTAACCAGCCTTTGCCCCAGAGCCCACTCCCTTCTGTTTACCGCTTGAGTCGTATAGCCTTTTGTCACAAAGTCCCATAACTTCCCATAATCGCTCTTACAGATAAAATCTCCAATCTAAGACTGTTTTTAAGATATTTCCCAGACACTGCATTCCAATGGGACAGGTGGTCCTGTGATCCCTGCCAAAGAACTGACTCAGTTCAGAAATGCCGTTCTTACATCCCTGTACTTTTCACACATTCTCACCCAGCCAATTAATTATGCCAATTCCCAAGCCCCCTGCCCACCAAAATTCTCTTATAAAACTTAGTCCAGGCCAGGCAAAGTGGCTCATCCCTGCAATCCCAGCACTTTGGGAAGCTGAGATGGAAGGATCACTGAAGGCCAGGAGTTTGAGACCAGCTTGGGCAACACAGTGAGACCCTGTCTCTACAAAAAATTTAAAAATTAGCTAGGCATGGTGGTGCACACCTGTAGCCTCAACTACTCAGGAGGCTGAGGCAAGAGGATTGCTTGAGCTCAGGAGTCTGAGATTGCAGTGAGCTACAACGATACCACTGCACTATAGCCTGGGCAACATAGTGAGACCCTGTCTCAAAAAAAAAGAAAAACCCAGCCCAGAACTCCTTGGGGAGATGGATTTGAGGGGTTCCTCCCATCTCTTCATTTGGCTGCCCAATGATTATTAAACTCTTTCTCTGCTGCAACCCCTGCTGTCTCAGTGTATTGGCCTGATTACTGCACAGCAGGCAAAAGAACCTGGTGGTCCCATAACATTCCTTCCCACTACTTCCTGGGACTTCCCAGTTACACCAGTGATTTTCAGAATCATTACCATTACAGTCCCAATCTATGAGCTCTTATTGTGCCAGGCCTTGAGCTAAAAGCTTTAAACATGTTTCATTAGAATCCTCAAAACGACCCTATGATATTGGAACTAAATTAGTCCTCATTGTATAGATGAGAAACATGAGGTTCAGGGAAGGGAAGGCAGAGGCCCACTGCCGCACAGTGGAGCTGGGACTTGAACTGAAATCCGTTGGCCTCCAAGCCCAATTTTTCACACCAAGCTCAAGCATCAATACTAACAATAATAGTATAAGCAACGAAGGGAGCACTCTGTGCAGGCGCTGAGCTAGGGATTCTGACGTGCACGAGCTGACTTCTCACTCTAACCCATGAAGCGGGTGCTACAGTCGGATTCTGACCCCCATTCTACAGAGGAGGAAACTGAGGCTCAAAGAAACAAGTCGTCTGTCCGTAGCCGCACAGCGGAGCTCAGACTGTAACTCCAGAGCCCTGGACGCCATCCATCCCCACCGCATTCGGCCCAGTCCCACCACCCCGGGCCCGTGCCTCACCTGGCCCACCGGGCCCGCGCCCACTCGCGCCGCCCGCCCTCCCTCCCGGCGGCGCCAACTGTCAGACACTCCTCCCTGGTCCCCGGCAGCCCGCCCCGGAAGCGCCGCCCTCCCCGCCGGAAGCCTGGCTGACCCGCCCGCGGCCGCTCTAGCCCGCCGGGCCGCCACCAGCGAGAGTGGCGCGGCAACCGTCACGTGACCGCCCCCAGTCTCCCAAGCGCCTCCCTGCTCCTGGCGCTGGCGAGGAGCGCAGCCAATGAGAAAGGTTCCTGCCTGGCCCCCGGCGGCCGGCAGTCCAGCGGGAGTGCGCCTGCGCGCGGATGGGGGCGGTCAGGCGGGGTTCCAGCCTGGACGGTGTGCGCGAGGCTGGCCCCAGAGTGGGAGACGAGCACTGCAGGTACTGTGTGGTCCGAGGGCGCAGCGCCTCGGCTGCCTCCTTGTGTTGTCCTCCTGTCTGTAATGCATCCCTCTCCTTATGTCGTCTTCCGTCCCTTTATGTCGCCATCCCTCCCCTTATGTTGCATCCCCCTCCTCTTCTGTAGCCATCGCTCTCCTTATGTCGCTGTCAACCTCCTTAACTCGCCTCCGTTCGCCTTAAGTCCTCATTGCCATTAGATGTCGCAGTCGCCCCCCCCTTAAGTCATCGTCTCCTTCTCATGTCGCCTGCACGCCTCTTTTGTTGCCATTTCTTCATGAAATCCTCATTTCTCTTAAATCGTCGTCATACCCCCATGTCACCTTCGCGCAGCTACCGTTACCATCTCTCTCAGGCGACGCTCATGTCATTATCCCTTATGTCTTCGTGCCTCCCCTGTCACCTTTGCTCCTCAGACAGTCACCATCCATGCCTCAGTCTTCCAGTTTTCCCCATAAGGAGCCACCCAGTTTTACAGTTGTTTTTCTCCCCTCCACGTCTCTGTCATTTCCCCATGTCACATGCCACATCTCACCTGCTCGTACCATACGGGCCCTAGAGCCCGTTGCGCAGGGTGTGCCAGTTCCACCCAGCTCCACCACTAAACCTCTGGGTAACCTTGATCACCTTGCCACGCCTTCCCAATCCCAGCTTCCTCATCTGCACATGCACACGGGGACACCTGCGTCAGGGGTGAATGTGAAGATTCTGTGAGTTTATTCTTGTGACATGCTCGGCTCATCGTGGCATTTTTGGCTAAAACCATTAACGCTGTCACCCTCACCCTCATCCAATCACCTCTTCACTCACAGTCTCACCTCTCCTCTCCCCAGCTACCCTGATCATTCTGGTGATGTTGTCACACTCCTCGCTGTGACCAATCCCTCTGCCACAGCAGCCACACCACCCCACGACCTCCATTGTTGCCTCTGCCACGTCACCGCCACCGAGGGGGTGGCCTATCAGCCGTCATGAACCTTGCTTCTGTAAATATTCAATCCCTATCTCTTGACCTTGTTGGATTGAGTGATTTCCCACCCCTAAAAATGAGAGCCTTTAGCTAGTGCCGTGGGTGTCATGGAGGGCTTGCGGGGGGGAAGGCCATAAGCAGCTTAGCCCCAGACCTCCCTGGACTTTTAGAATCGGAGCTCTAGAGAGAGGAGGCAGGTCCCTCCGCACTTCATTGAAACCCCAGCAGTCCTGAATCTCCAGGCAGAGAGGTAAGTGTCCTCTTCACTCAGCTTGTCCTAGTGAGGCAGTGTAGCTCAGTGGTTAGTGACGTGAGCCTGCGGGCTGGAACAATCTTGGTTCTAGCTCTTAGTACTTAAACAGCTGCACGACCTTGGGCAGCCGCCTTAACCTCCCTACGCCTCAGTTACTACATCGCTGCAATATGGAGCGAAAACACAAGTTACTCATTCAGAACGTCCTTCTTAAGCACGTCCTGCGTGCCCAACACTGTGCTGGGCATTGGAACACATCAGTGAACAAAACAGACAAAAATACCCTGCCTTGTGGGGTTTATAGTCTAGAGGGAGTAAGAGACAACGAGCAAACAGGTAAGTAGATTGTTTGATGTTAGAAGGGGGATGGAGAATGTGGGGTCAAGGTTGTAGCTTTAAATGGGGTGGTCAGGGAAAGTTTCCTGAGAAGGGGGTATTTGAACAAAGACTTAGAGGAGAGAGTGGCATGGCTATCTGCGGGGAGAACAGCAAATGCAAAGGCCCTGGGGTAGGAATGTGCTTGGAATATTTAAGGAATAGCAAGCAAGTCAGCGAGGGAGGGAGACGAGGTCAGAGAGGTGATGGGGGCAGATTGTGATAGGAACTCTTGTGCCATGGAGAAGACTGGCTTTTCCTCTGAGGGAGGAGGGAGCCACAGAGGATTTGGAGCAGAGGAGGGACACAAGCCAATGAACCATGAAGCCATCACCCTGAGCAGCATCAGCAACTCTAGAACTTCCACCCAGATGGATCGGCAAGAGGCAGCCTTGTCGGAAGGAGAGCCAGAGTCTTCAAACTGCACTCACATATCCTTTATATTTGGAGAAAGCTTCAAATATCCATCAGAGCTGGGCACAGTGGCTCACACCTGCCTGTAGTCCCAGCTACTTGGGAGGCCAAGGTAGAAGGATCACTTGAGCCCAGGAGTTTGAGACCAGCCTGGGCAACATAGCAAGACCCCATCTCAAAAACAAAATTTTTTTTGTCAAAAATTTGGAGGGGGAGGGAGGTGCTGATGGAGTTTTTGAGATGTCAAAGCCACCACTGGGTTCAGTAGCTGTTGGAGGGGGTGGCCACCTGCAGATCTACAGGTGGTGAACAACAGGAGAGGCACGTGTTGTGGGGCGTCTATCCCTGGACAAGGCAGCTTGGGTTGAAATCGTGGCTCTTACCATTTATTTCCTGGTTGTTTCCTTTTGTGCCAAAAACCTAACCTCTCTAGGTCTTAATTCCCTTATCTCTTAAGTGGGATGTCAAAAAAGTCCGTTGTGAGAATTAAACCTATAAAGTGCTGTGAGCAGTGCCTGGTTCAATGATCAAAACACCCCCTTGCCCCACTCAAGTCCTGCACTGTCACAGGCAGGACAGTCTCACGCCTCCCTCGGGTGGCTGGGTCCCTCACGTGAGGCGATAAAGGGAGATCCTGCCTTATTTTTTCTTTGTTCATGAATTGGTTGAACAGTGCACTGCCCTGGAGCCGGACTGTGTTCTGGGTTCAAGTTCCCAACAAACCAGGGCAACCTGAGCAGGTGATTTCCCCAAGCCCTGCCGCCTCACCTGAAAAACAGGGACACTCATGCTACTTTGCCCCAGACTTGTCATGTTGTTTCTGAACCGGAGCATCAGCCATTCCCAACTGTGATGCCACCCCCCCGGCCTGCCATTATTTTTCCCCAAGGTACACGCCATGTTTGTCACTCATTTATTCTCGCTCTCCCCCCCCCCCAGTAGAATATTAGCATTGAGAGGGGTTTTTTCCTTCTGTTTTGAGCTGTAGCCCCAGTTTCTAGAACAGGGCTTGTCGGAGAATAGTTACTGAATAAGTATTAGTTGAATGACAGGTGAACAACCTGGCTTACTGAGCACCTGGCACGTACTATTCCTGTGCTCAGTGGTACTGGGGACACAGCAGTGACTGAGACAGCCCAGCCCTGCTCTCCTAGGGCTCCCAGTGCAGTGAGAAACAGACCCATCACCAGGCACTGACAGCATGGGCTATGGGGGGGTGGGGCACAGGGGACTGTGGGAGCCTGGAGGGCTTCATGGAGGAGGTGGCACGTGAGCTGATAGGCATGTAGCAGCACGAAGAGGAGGGAAAGGTGTCCTCATCAGGAGAAGCAGTTGTGGGAGGGTTTGGTGTGATTTCAGTTCAAGAAACTGAAAGATATTCAATCTGGCTGGGGTGGAAAGCATGGTAAGAGAGCCACGGTGAGGAGCTGGGACTTCGTCCTGAGAACACTTGGGAGCCACCGAGTTTTTGAGCAGGGGAGGGACAAGCCACATTCAAATGGAAGGGCACTGGGAGAGTTGAGTGGAGGCTGGGAGCCAAGGGAGGTGACCGGAGTGGGAGAGACCAGGTCGGAGCTGCCGAGGGGAAGGGTAGGCGGGAGAGACCCTCAGGAGGCCAAGTGTGGGGGTCCAGGACAGAGCCCAGGGCTGGGGGAGTCAGGGAGAGGCTGGGATCTCCAGAGCTGGAGTTCAGGAGAGAGGAGACAGAGCTTTGGGTTCAGCAAGGGGAACTAAAGCTGTAATGGTGGGGGAAGGTCCACCCGGGCCTGTCGATGTAGGCCCCTATAGGACCTGGTAAGAAATTTGCCCTTTGTCCTGAGGGTAGTAGGGAGCCACAGAAGGATTTTGAGCAGGAGTGGGGCGGCTTAGATTTGTTAGTTCCAATTCAGAAGGCTTCACCACTCAGGATGCTGCTTTGGACCTGTTTCACTGTTTTTCAGGCTGAGCCTCTTCTCTCCCTAGGAGAGAGAAGAGAACTTATCTTAATGGGTCCTTTGAAATAAAGGAACTACTGCCTAAAAGAAAAACAAAAACAAGAAACAAAAAAGCCCAGTTTGCAAAACCAGTATTCTGTTCTGTTTTCTGTAGACCTGACCACCACCAGTCGATTGTTCAGTCCAAAGGCGTCTGCACCATCAAGTGAAAACTTAGCAACCTTAAACATGAGAACATTTGTTTTCAACCATGTGGAAGGCCCGTGGGTTTGTAACTGTGTCCTGCGGTAGGGCCTGCCCCGTGCCTCCCACTGGCTTCTGCAGCACCCTCCTTGGCATTCTCCGATGGCATGAATCAGCCTTGACCTTTTCCCCACTCTGTGTGCTTTACTTTTGCTGAGATGCCATGTTCTGCACCCACTCTCTCTGCTGTGGCCTTAGAGAGTTATCATTGTACAGAAAACAAGCGGCACTAGGTCTAGAGAGACATCTAAAGAAAGTCTTTTTTTTTCAAAGTGTTCCATTCTACTGTTCTGTCTCTTCTGCTTTCAACAAATATTTATCGAGCAGTTACAACGTGCCGGGCACCGGAGCTAGAGGAATAAATCAGATACACACTTAGCTTTTCAAGGGACACATAAATAGGTTTATTATCTGTGATGACAATGTGTTCAGGATACCGGGGTCCACACGGATCTCACCAACCAGCATGTGTGCGGGTTCCCTGTGCTATATCTGCCTGCCGTGGGTGAGCTTGTTGACTCTTCCCAGAAAATGTGAGGTTGGTATTTATTATTAATCTCCCCATTGTTCAGAGAATGAAAGTGAGGCTCAGAGGAGGGAGCTCTTTTTTTCCTAGTTCACAGAGCTTGGCTCTGAACCCAGGACTGTGGGACTCTGAGACCCAGCCCGTTACCCATTCAGAGATCCCCCCAGCTACTTCCCTCCAGATGGGTATAAGATGATACCCATTTCATAGATGAGGCCAGCAGAGCTCAGAGAAGTAAAGCCCCATGCGCTCAAGGCCACTCGGCGAGGAAGTGGCAGAGGCCGTATGTGAAGCCTGAGCCCCCCAGTCCAAATCACTGCTGGTGCAGGAAGGGTCAAGTCTCTCTCTGCCACCCTCACCCGGGGCTGGGGTGTTCAGGGAGCTGTGACCTGACATGTCTCGAAAGCCCAGTGGGTTTTGTTTCCTCTTTTTCTGCGGGCTGCGGTATCACAGGCAGGCGGGGCCACCAGCCAAGGGTTCAAGGGGGATATTCTGTGGTCCGGGAGGCCACGCGCTTCCTGGCGGAGGTCCGCCCCACGCCAGCAGGGAGGCTGGGCATAAGGATTAGCTTGGGTTGATTGCACAGGGCACCCTCGTGGGTTCTGGGGTCCTGGGAACACACGAGCACTGAGTCTTTTAGGGGAAGGGGCACCCCAGCTAGGAGCTTGAGCCTCGCCATAAGTTAATGTGCATGGAAGTGCTATGTACATTTTAAGAAATTAAGTAGCAAAGGCCTGCAATGAAAAGCAACTGTCTTGCCTTTGGAGCTGTGCCTTGACAATTACTCATGTTTGCTGAGAGCCCCTCGCATGTCAGCGGCTGTGCAATGCACGGTGTAAGTGTTCATTCCTTCGGTTCAGGAGTCATTTGTCTCAAATTTGACCCATTCAAAACCAAATCCTGGTCTTTTCCCCAAACTCACTCCTCTCTGTCTTCCCCAAATGAACTACTGGCTCTTCCATGCTTGCAGTTGCTCAGGCTGAGACCCTTGGAGTCATCCTTCACTGCTTGCTTCTTCCAGAACCCCCATCCAATGTGGAAATCCCACCCGCTCCACCTTCCAAATGCATCCAGAGCCAGCCCATCCTTCACCCCGTGTCTGCCCGCGCCCTGGTGGCTGCCTGCGTGCTGGTCCCATGCCCCTGCCTGGATGCTCCCAGTAGCCTCTTCCCTGGGCTCCCTGCCCCAGTCTGTTAACCAAACAGCCCTGGGTTCGTTTCCTAGGGCCCCTGTAACAGATTTCCTTAAACTTGCCTTAAAACAACAGAAATTTATTGTCTCATACTTTGGGAGGCCAGACGTCCAAATTCAAGGTGTTGGCAGGACCACGCTCCCTCCAGAGGCTTTAGGGGTGATTTCATTCCTAGCCGCCCCCTCTTCTAGTGGCTGCAGGCATTCCTGGGCTTGTGGCCACCTCGTTCCCATCTCTGCCACTCTGGTCCAGGGGCCCTCTTGTGTGTCCTCTGTCTCTTATAAGGACCTTTGTCATTGGATTTCGGGCCCACCCAGGTGATCCAGGGTGATCTTATCTCAAGATCCTAAATTTAATTACTCGGCGAAGATTCTTTTGCCAAGTAAGGTCACATGCACAAGTTCCAGGGCTTGTGCCCACATCAGACATATCTTTTTTGAGGCCACCATTCAACCTGCTATAAAACCCGAGGCAGATTGCGTCATTCTTCCTCTGCTGGGAACCCAAGGGTGACGCTGTCCTACTCACCACCGTCCAGGCAGCCCTGCAGGATCTGGTCCTGCCGCCTCTGTGACATATCTCCCCCCCCCCAGCCCACTCCACTGCAGACACACTGGCCTCCTGGCCCTTCCCCATCCATACCAGGCTCACTGCTGCCTCAGGGCCTTTGCACTGGCTGTTTCCCCCTTCTCCCCCCGAAGTCCAGGTAGTTTCCTCCCTCCCTTCATTGAAGTTTTTCTCAGGTACCCCCTTCTCAGTGAGGCCTTCTCTCACCTCCTTATTTAAAATTGCAAACCATCCCATTTCTCTGATCCTCTATAGCACTTATTACCTCTTAACATATAATTTGCTTATAATCTTATTCATTATCCATCTTCCCTTGTGTCTGTTTTGTTCACAGCTGTATCCCCAGTGCCTAAAACAATACCTGGTGCACAGTAGGTACTAAATAAATAGTGTAAATTTAATGAACAACCTTATGAAAAGTAGATGTTGTTAACATGCCCATTTCACAGATGGGGAAACAGAGGCACAGTGGTACTGTCACTTCTCCAAGGTCAGTCTCGTAAGTTCTGAAGCACAGATTCAAACTCAGGTATCTGGCTCTAGCACCTACTATATTAACTGTCTCATCAATCTAATCCAATCCAAACCGCCTCTCCATGCTAGTTTTCCTTTGAAAAGCCTTAGGTGTATTGCTTTGTTAAAAATATGTCAAAAGTTAAAGTGAGTGGGATGGGGGTGAGAGATGAGAAATTAGTTAATGGGTATAATGTACATTATTCGGGTCATGGTTACATTATTACATTAAAAGCCCAGACCACACACACAGTCTCTTTCTCTCTCTCTCTCTCTCTCTCTCTCTATATATATATATATACACACACATAAAACTGTACTTGTACTCCTTAAATTTATACAAATAAAAAAATTAAACCCATCATTAAAGACCTGGAATCACTGCACAATTTCAAAGCCAGTCACTAACAATGTGAATGAAGTCCACCTAGCTTCTTCCTAATTTTTGGCTTATTGGTGGCCATTCCAGTTTTCCAGCCCTGAGGCTGTCTCGGTACTATCACCTCAGATCTCCACACGCCACCTCTCCCTCAGGTTTGTTTTAAGTCATCTTGGCTTCCCTAATGTTACCTTGCCTGCTAGTTCAACCCCATATTCTTCAATAAAACACTTCTCACCAAGGCCTTCAAAGAACACTGAAAGGCAAAACCCATTTCCTGCCCTCCTGCTTCCCTTCCCCACCCACAACCCTGTGGTCAACCACCTCCAAGACTGGTGGTATCTGCTTCTCCTGGTGACCTCTGCAGTTTCAAATAACCTTGACCTATTGCTGTTCCCTGCTGGATCCATTTTAACCCATCCCCATTTGTCTCCCAGCAAGGAGAGGAGGGGCTCTAGCTTGCCCTGCCCTCTCCAATCTGGGCTTGGACCTTGGTGGGGAGGAGTTTCCAAGTTATCCCATGAGATCTGGACTGGAGCATGGAGTTAGGGGAGAACCTAGCCCCCCTTGGGAATGTTCTTTTTATTTTATTTTTTTTAATCACAGGAATACATGTCCCTGATTTTTTAAAAACTGACAAAACTGGCCATGCCTGTGTTTGCTTTATAATTATTTCTTAATCTGCATGGAGATGCTTTCTATACTTCTTTGTAAGTAGCTGATATTTCACAATTTTTTAAAAAAAAAAGGAAATAGGTTTACCATAAAATGCAATCCTGATCCACCCCACAAATCCCACTCCCTTGAAGGCGACCGCATCTAACCTGTTGCTTCTCCCATTAATATTCTTTTTCTGCAGTTATCTGTTGACTTCCTGCCCTGTGTGTTTGGGGGGTTTCAGGGGAGAGGGTGTTCTGTCCCTTGCATTGAGAAAGATGCCGCCCTCTCGCAATGAAGAGAGGAGGGAGGAGGAGAGGAGGGGTCTCGAATTTATTTCTCCAGCCGTGACTTTAAATCTTGCTTGGGAGATATGAGATGGGTGCGATCCAGAAGCCTGGATCAAAAACAAATTTATTTAAATCCCTATCAAAATATCAGTTGGCTTTTTTAAGAACAAAATCAAATACTGAAATCCAAACAGACTCCAGCAGAAAATCCACCATCTCCCCTGCCCTTTTCTTCCATCCCATACCATGAGCTTTGTCTTCTGCTGAATTTATCGCCCCAACTCTTATTCCTATTATTCAACCTTACTCTCTCCATGTTATTTTATTATAAGCATTTTATTAATCGTATTTATGTATTTATTTTTGACTAGGTAATGCATGCCCCATGGTACAAAAATTCACAGGTTTGTAGACAAGAAAAGACGTGGGGTCCCTTCTTCTCTTTACCTGTGGCCTGCCTGCCTCACACAGGGACTCTCGGGTGGAGTGTGGCCAATCCCATCCCCCAGCCGTGCTCCCCCCACCCCGGCCAGGTTGGCGGGACCGTATCTGGGCGCCCCGGCCCCCCTCTTCGCTGCGGTGAGCCCAGGCTGACGCGCGCACTGCGCAGACTCCCCGCTGCAGTGGGCGGAGTCCCCTCAGGCCCCGCCCCCTCCCTCCTCCAGCCCCTGTTCAGCTTGTCGGGGCAGAAGCTGGGGCCCCGCAGAGGTAGCAGCAGCCGCCTGCCGAGTAAGGCCGAGGCCCCTGAGGGGTAGGGGGGAGGATGGCGGGGGAGATGGGCTGAGGGGTGGCGGGGAGGGGAGGCCCCGGTGGTCCTGGGCAGAGCTGTCTGGCGTGGTGGGTACCTGAGGGTGAGGGCAGAGGAGCCACCTGGAAAATACCCCGTGAGTAGCCCCAGGACTGAGACGAGGTGCAAAGGATTGGGGCTGCGCTGACCCCATCCAGGGCTGTCTTTTGGGGAATATCCTAGATTAGAGCCGGGGCAGGGATAGAGAAGGGTGCTAAATGGAAACAGCGTGGGTGCGAAGGGGGGCAGGGTGGACACTGCAGAGCGATGCGAGGAAAGCACAGGCGTCGGACCTCAAGGGATTTCGAAATCCCTGCTGACCAGCGATCATCTTCCTCCTTTTGGGCTCGTGGGCGCGATGCCAGTGGCCCCCGTGATCATGAGCAAGGAGACCCAGTGGATCCCATAGCCCCAAGACTAATCTGCCTTCTGTGATGTCCCTCAAAAGCCTGGAACACCCCACACAGTGCCTGCTTTTGTTCCACCAGTTTGGAGACCCTGACACACCCACCTTCCCGCCTGGGCTCTTCCTATGCCCCAGCTGCCAGGCAAGATGAAGCCTAAACTGATGTACCAGGAGGTAGGTGGATGGGAAGCTGAGTGGGGAGGGGCTGGGTGAAGCGGAGGGCCAGGGCCCAGCCGAGCCACCCTGTCACCCCCCCACCATCCCCATCCCCGTCCCCGTCCCCCAGCTGAAGGTGCCTGCTGAGGAGCCCTCCAACGAGCTGCCCATGAATGAGATTGAGGCGTGGAAGGCTGCAGAGAAGGTAGGAGCCCTCCGCCACCCTTGATCAGTCTCAGGGACAGGCTGGACTGTCCCTGTTGGACTGGCTGACCACCTCCTCCTCCCCACAGAAAGCCCGCTGGGTCCTGCTGGTCCTCATCCTGGCGGTCGTGGGCTTCGGTGCCCTGATGACTCAGCTGTTTCTATGGGAATACGGTGACTTACATCTCTTTGGGCCCAACCAGCGCCCAGCCCCCTGCTATGACCCCTGCGAGTAAGTGTGGGGGAGGGGCAGGTGTGTGGGGGAGGGGCTCTGCCAGGCCAGGGACACTTAGACACACTGATCAGGGCCTGCGCTTAGCCGCACCCAGTGCTTGTGACGAGTGAGGAGGCTGCAGACTCCCAAGTGCGTGCCCACCCCCCTCCCCCTGACATACACTGTTGCCATGGCAGCCACAGCGTCATCTTCTATCCAGGTCTGCGAACAGACAGATGCACGCAGCATCTTCCATCCACGTCTGCTGGTAGACACACACAGACATGCAGATATGCAACCCGTCTCCACATCTCTAGACAGACAAATGCACAGAGTATAGACACACACACAGTCTTCCCTCCACGCACCTGTGGGCAGACAGGTGAGCACTCACCTCCCGGCCAGTGATCTCCAGCACCCGGTGGCTGATGGCTGATACGGTGCTCCCCCCACCCCACCGCAGGGCAGTGCTGGTGGAGAGCATTCCCGAGGGCCTGCACTTCCCCAATGACTCCACGGGCAACCCCTCCACCAGCCAGGCCTGGCTGGGGCTGCTCGCCGGCGCCCGGAGCAGCCTGGACATCGCCTCCTTCTACTGGAGCCTCACCAACAATGACACCCGCACGCAGGAGCCCTCTGCCCAGCAGGTACCTGGCAGCTTTGGCCCCAACCGACAGCCGGGAGAGGGATGGGGGCAGTGGGGGGATGAAGGGGTTTCCCCTGCAGCCCGGGAGACCAGTGGGCATGTCTCATACAGCGGATTGGACACAGGTGTTTGGAAGCTGCTGTCTTCACATGGCCCTCTGGACTGGGGGCATTTGTTATGGTCATCTGGAGGCCTCTGAATGTCAGGGTGCAGGTTTGGTTACAAGGGATTAGACTGGCAGATGTCGGTCAGCCACAAACGGCCCTGACCCTGCCACACAAAGAAATGCAAGAACAGAGCAAGTAAGAGCCCAGCATCGGACCAGGCTGCCACCTCCCAGCTGTTCGACTCCCAGCTGTGAAACCTCAGTCGGTTTCTTTTTGGTTTTTTTTTTGAGACAGAGTCTCACTTTGTTGCCCAGGCTAGAGTGAGTGCCGTGGCATCAGCCTAGCTCACAGCAACCTCAAACTCCTGGGCTCAAGTGATCCTACTGCCTCAGCCTCCCAAGTAGCTGGGACTACAGGCATGCGCCACCATGCCCGGCTAATTTTTTGTATATATATTTTTATTGGTCAATCAATTTCTTTCTATTTTTAGGAGAGACGGGGTCTCGCTCAGGCTGGTTTCGAACTCCTGACCTCGAGCAATCCGCCCACCTCGGCCTCCAGAGTGCTAGGATTACAGGCATGAGCCACGCGCCCCGGCCGCTTCAGTTTCTTTATCTGTAAAATGGGGCCAATATATAGCACCCACTTCTTAGGGCTCTTATGAGGATGAAATAGGCTAATCCATGCAAATTGTAGCACGGTGCCTGGCACAGTCAGCCCTTTGGGAGTGTTTGCCATTACTATATTCTTGTTATGGTCTCAGACAAACTGAAAAAACATAAAAGCTTCACGACTTGAAAAGGAACAGCTTAGGTGACTAACCCCTTCCATTGATAATCATGATCAATGTGTTCATTCTGTTTTCTTCTCCCAGCTGCCTCTTTTTTATGAGAAGTGGACTTAAAACCTATTAAAATGACAGGGCTCCTTGAGTACTGCCTTAAAAATAATAATTATGAAAGTTAAAAACCAAAGCCGGACTCAGTGGCACGCACCTGTAGTCCCAGCTGCTCGGGAGGCTGAGGCAGGAGGATTGCTTGAGCCCAGGAGTTTGAGGCTGCAGAGAGCAATGATCACACCTGTCAATAACCATTGCATTCCAGCCTGGGCAACACAGTGAGAACCTATTCTTTAAAAAATAATAATAGGCAACCAGCCTAAGCAAGAGCGAGACCCCGTCTCTACTAAAAATAGAAAGAAATTAATTGGCCAACTAATATATATAGAAAAAATTAGCTGGGCATGGTGGCGCATGCTTGTGGTCCCAGCTACTCAGGAGGCTGAGGCAAGAGGATCGCTTGAGCCCAGGAATTTGAGGTTGCTATGAGCTAGGCTGATGCCACGGCACTCTAGCTAGGCAACAGAGTAAGACTCTGTCTCAAAAATAATAATAACAATAATAATAATAATAAAGTTAAAAACCATGAACTCCCAATCCCTGCTGGCTCCCACTGAAGTACTTCATAACACAGACGTAGGAGGCAGACAGTCTGGGTTCAAATCCCACTGCACTACTGAGTTCTCGAATCCTCAGTTTCCTCATCTGCACCGCGGGGATTATAATTAGACCTGACTCGGAGGGTTGTGAGAATTCAATGAGTTCAGACACGAAGGGGCCTAGAACAGAGCCTGGCACACAGTAGGTACCAGATGATCTCTGACTGTTATTGGCATCACCGTGCCTCACCCCATACCTTCCGGGACCCCAGCCAGAGCCTCGCCCCCAACATCCTGGCAGATTCCTGGAGGCCCCTGCATTGCTGCTCCGTCTGAGTGCTGGATCTGGAAGGTCCCAGGAGGGGCAGGGAGGCCTTGGGAGAGCAGCTGATTATTAAAATAGATAAAGAAGGGTTTTGATGGTTTATTTTGTAAAGGCTTTAATCTAGAAAGGCTAATAGAAAGCCTGTTTACTCCTAATCACATCTCAAAATAGCCCCTCTGGGCGTGCCTCCAGGGGTTGGAGCTGGCTGGCCCAGCCCCTCAGCAGCGCCCCCTCCCCGCAGGGCGAGGAGGTCCTCCGGCAGCTCCAGAGCCTGGCGCCACGAGGCGTGAAGATCCGCATCGCCGTGAACAAGCCCAACGGGCCCCAGCCACAGGCAGACCTGCAGGCCCTGCTGCAGAGCGGTGAGCGGGGGGCCAGCTGGGGGCCGCCCGGGGCTGCCCAGGCCGGCTCCTGACCACTGCCCCTGTTGGTCACAGGTGCCCAGGTCCGCATGGTGGACATGCAGAAGCTGACCCATGGTGTCCTGCACACCAAGTTCTGGGTGGTGGACCAGACCCACTTCTACCTGGGCAGTGCCAACATGGACTGGCGCTCACTGAGCCAGGTCTGTGTGCACCTGTCTACCTTCCCATCCAGGCCAGTCCTTGCCCCACTGGGCACGCAGTCTCCGCCTGCGCCCGTCTTCAGTCCAGAGTCCTCTCTACCTGTTCTCTGCAACGGCTTCTTCCTCCTCCCTACTGGGCTTCCTGAAACATCCCCCAGTCTGGGCTCCCACTGCCCTGCCCTGCTCCTGGAAGCCTGGGCCTCCCTCCAGTCCCTCATGGCAGCTGCCGGCCCCTCTATGGGCCATTCAGCGTCCACTCATTTGGCCTTCGTTATATATTCCCTGAGCACCGACTCTAAGCCCAGCCCTGTTCTGGATGATGCTGGGAGCATGGTGGTAACAGAAGGACCTCATGGGGCTCTCAGTCCAGTGCAGAGGCTGGCCTGTGACCAGGCAGTGACAGCCCAGAGGGGACAGGGCCAGGGTCAGGGAGGAATCAGGGCCAAATGGAGGAAACAGAGGGTTTCGGAAGCCCAGAGGAGGCATCTGACCCAACCTGGGGTATCGAGGAAAGTGTCCCAAAGGAGGTGACAGCTAACCTGATGCCCGAAGGATGGGGAGTAACTAACAGGCAGGAAAGAGGGAGCAGCTTAGGCAGTGGGAGGACAGGACATTAACTCATTCATTCCATCAACAATTATTTCCCTAAACTCCTAATCTCTCCAGTTATGCGGGGAGGTGCTGAAGATAAATTGTGACTGAGACATCCCTGGTTCCTGTCCTCCCGGCCCAATGGGGAGACAGGTTTGTTACCAGAGAGAACGATCAGGAAGGCCCAAGAGACTCTGAGAGCCCAGAGGAAGCCCGGCACCATCTGGGCAGTCAAGGGAGGCTTCCTGGGGGAGGAAACAGGCCAACCTACACCTAAGAATGAGCAGGAGCTCGCGTGGTGGAGGGTGGAGACAACAGGTTCAGGAACCTGGAGCTTTGGGATAACTGAATGATTTTCACCAAAACTTAAGTTCATGGCCATTCCAGAACTTTAGCTATCACGGGGGTGGCGGCAGGGGGTGAGGGACCGAGAGGGGTGGTAGACCAAGGGGCAGAGAGGCTGGGCTGGGAGTGTCCGTGGCGTCTCTGGGCCCCAGGCCGCTATCCCAGGCTCGGCGCTGTGCTCCCACAGGTGAAGGAGCTGGGCGTGGTCATGTACAACTGCAGCTGCCTGGCTCGAGACCTGACCAAGATCTTTGAGGCCTACTGGTTCCTGGGCCAGGCAGGCAGCTCCATCCCGTCAACCTGGCCCCGGCCCTATGACACCCGCTACAATCAAGAGACACCCATGGAGATCTGCCTCAATGGAACCCCTGCTCTCGCCTACCTGGCGGTGAGTCCGGGGCAAGTGGGGCCTGCCACGCTCTGTCCCCATGCTGTCACTCCTGGCCTCCATCTGGCCGTGCCTGGTGGTTGGTGGGGAGGGGCGTCCTGACCACTGGCCCTCACCTCTGGTCACTCTGCTTGGTCAGGGACCTGGGCTTTGTCCCAGCCTCTCTAGGCCTCGGTGTCACCCAGAAGATGGGCATCCACATTTCCGACCTCTAGGGCTACGAGGTGAGGCGCCACTGAGTTCACGTACACCGAGCCCTTGGTGTCTGTTTTCAGGAGAGCCACTGCGGCCCTTTCCATTTAAATTAATTAAAATGAAATGTGCTTAACAGCTTAGTTCCACGGCCGCACTAGCCACGCTTCAAGTGCTCAGCACACGTGAGATGGCAGCAAGTGGCCACCGTCTTGGACGTCGCTGGCTCTTGCCCGTGGCAGGTTTTGAGCACTCCCGACAGCGCATTTTAAGCCGTTAGTATATTTTCACTAGTTGGGGTGGGCAACCTGGGTCCCTCTAGGTCCCCTCGAGCGAATCGCCTGGCCAAGTCCCCAGAGTCACTGTGGATGCAGGGAAGTGTGATCTGTGGCTTCGTGGAGGCCAAGGATGCAGTGAGATCCACAGCACGTGGCTCGCGGAGAGCTGTCCGTACGTGGGCTTCGCGGCAGAGCACACGTCTTACTGTCCCCTCACCTGCAGAGTGCACCCCCACCCCTGTGTCCAAGCGGCCGCACCCAAGACCTGAAGGCTCTGCTCAACGTGGTGGACAACGCCCGGAGTTTCATCTACATCTCGGTCATGAACTACCTGCCCGCCATGGAGTTCTCCCACCCGCGCAGGTACGCGGGCGCGTGGCCAGGGAGCCGCCGCAGGTGGTAGGGGGACAGGGAGGGAGTGATGGGGCTCAGAAAGCCGGCAAGGGGACGGGTGGGAGGGAAGCCACAGAGAGGCAGAGGGGCCTGGGAGGTGACAGTGAAAGGGGATCTGGGTGCTTGAGACGGGAGAAAGGGACTATGGGGGAGGTGGGGATGGCGGGGGACTGGGTTTGGGTGAACGGTAGCCAGGAACAGGAGGGGGGCATGAGGGGGATTTAAGGAGGCAGGAGCAGGGCCGGAGGCGAGCGATGGCGTGGTCCTCCCAGAAGCCAAAGCAGCTCCCGGGCTCGGTTCCCCAAACCTGAGGCCAAAGCCCGTGGATAAAGGGGCCCTCCCTACCCTGCACCCACCCGCTGCCCCCAGGTTCTGGCCGGCCATTGACGAGGGGCTGCGACGGGCCATCTACGAGCGGGGCGTCAAGGTGCGCCTGCTCATCAGCTGCTGGGTACACTCGGAGCCATCCATGCGTGCCTTCCTGCTCTCCCTGGCTTCCCTGCGGGACAACCGCACCCGCTCCGACGTCCAGGTGGTGAGCACCCAGCCCAGGCCACCCCTCCGTCCCTGCTTGGGGCAGCACTGGGGACACAGCCTGCCTGGGGCTCATGTGTCATCCGACAAGGATGACCCAGGCAAGCCGTGTCATGATGGGGAAACCACGGGCCAGGATGGGGGGCCCAGGCAGAGGGGTCGGGTGGGATGGGGGTGCCCCTGCCGAGGCCGAGGGGCCGAAGAAGACTTTCCGGGAAAGGGGACATCTGAGATGAGACCGCAGGAGTGAATAGGAGCCCTCCTAGAGGGACAGGGTTGCAGGTGACCAGAGCCTGTGTTTACTGGGTACCCCTCCGCTGGGCCCTGTTTCGACCCCCGAGGATTCTGTGGGCAGCAGCCGAGTCCCCAGTCCCCCAGACCTGGCTCCACCCACTCCCTGGCACCGGGGCTGCCGCGACAACCCTGCACCTCACGCTCCTTCTCATGCCCCCTCCCGCTCAGAAACTCTTCGTGGTCCCTGCGGATGAGGCCCAGGCTCGGATCCCCTATGCCCGTGTCAACCACAACAAGTACATGGTGACCGAACGCGCGACCTACATTGGTGAGAGTCCTGGGCTCCGCCGGGGGGCGGGGGGGCTCCAGGTAGCAGGGCCTGGCCGCCCCCTGGAGCCCTCACCTGCACCCTCCTCTGCAGGAACCTCCAACTGGTCTGGCAACTACTTCACGGAGACGGCGGGCACTGCGCTGCTGGTGACGCAGAACGGGCGCAGTGGCCTGCGCAGCCAGCTGGAGGCCGTTTTCCAGAGGGACTGGGACTCCCCTTACAGCCATGACCTCAACACCTCGGCCAACAGCGTGGGCAACGTCTGCCGCCTGCTCTGAGGCCCGGTCCGGCAGACAGGCCGAGGCCTGCCGGGCCCCGTGGACCCCAACACTCCGGGTCCCGGTCCCTGTCCCCGCGCCCCCGCTTCTGTCTGCCCCTTTGTGGCTCCACAGGCTCTCCCCTGCTCTCCCGCCTCTACCTCTGCCCCCACCGGCCTGACGCTGTGGCCCCGGGCCCAGCAGAGCTGGGGGAGAGATCAGCCCCCGAAGAAGTGGGGGGTGCATGTTGGGCCCGGCCCCCTGGCCCACCCCCCTTTGCAAGGGCAAAGTGGGCCCAAGGTTATAATAAGTAAATAACTTGTCTGTACAGCCTGTGCCTGACTGAGTGGTGTGAGATGGGGAGACAGGGCTAGGGGACAGCTCAGTGTGGAGAGCTCTCAGTGTGCAACCCGTGTGGATTGGTGTGTGCTAAGTCCTCGGCGTGTGACCAACATGGTTTGGCATGTACTGAGCCCTTGGCATGTGACTGGTGTGGGCTGGCGTGTGCTCGGCCCTCGGCGTCCGCGCACCTGGGCTAGCATGTGCTGAGCATGCAGCGTGAGACTGTGTGGCCTGGCATGGCCTGAACACTCATGTAGCCAGCATGGGGTAGCGTGTGCTGCACACTAAGCATGATCCCAGATAGATGAGCATGGACTGAACCATGGCCCTGTCCCCAGGGTGGACTAGCATGTCTGAACACTGGCGCATACAACAAGCGTGAGTTTGTGCCTGCCAAGTGAATTTACACGGAGCATGTCCCAAGTATAGACGACTGCATGCCAAGGCCATAACACGTAGGAAGGTCAGGCCAAGAGACGATGAGACCCCAGCACCTGGCAAGCTCAGATTGACACATGCTGAACACTCAGGATGTTCTAAGGGGGGATTCTCAATGTGCCAAGCGCTTAGCACGTTTAGGGGACGAGTTAGTCTGCCAAGCACAGCCTTCCCCTCCTAGCGTGACGGCGGCCCAGCCTCCAGCCTGAGCCAGCTGCCAATGGGGTGCAGCACCCCAGAACAAGGCCCTGGGGGCCAGCCTGGAACCCCACTCCAGGGCCAGTCCAGGCCTCCGGCAGGGAGAACAGTCTTGAAGCAGGACTGCTGAACAGTTCTTTATTGAAATAGAGGCAGCAGGGCCGAGGGCGGGCTCAGGGCCAGTGGGGTGCGGTCCCCTTCCTGCTGTCCGTCTGGCCGAGGGACCGTGTGCCAGACCCCAAGGCCCTCTTATGTTCGGGGTGTGTGTGCAGCCATGTGCTGCAGGCAGGGGGAGTGGAGTTTCTGGATAACTATCTTTCTGTAAGAATAATTTGTGGGTTCGGGGGATGGCTCTGAGGAGCAGTTGGGGTCGGAAGGGGACGGCGGCCCGGCTAGCGCAGCCCCCAGCGATAGGCAGGGGTGGGATGGCCATCAGTGGTGCCCGCCAACGTGCTGCAGAAAGCTGGTGGTCCGCGACGGACCGTGTGGGTGTGGGTGGCGGGGCGGGAGTCCCTGAGCCCGTGGCGCCCTGACACCCTCCAGGGTCCAGTCTGGCTCACTCAGCCATTCTCCGGGACAGCTGCTGGGGTCGAAGAGCTCAGGGCCTGGCCTCTGTGGGGGAGAAGAGAGGGGTGTCAGCGAGAAATGCTAGTGTCCACCGAGCCTGTCACTCTTCCTGCGGCGGGTGAGCTGGCGCCAGGGTCTTATCCAGGGCTCGGCCTTTATCACTTCTGGGTGGATCACTATGTCCTGAGTTTTTGTCACAGCCTGAAGGTAGATAAATATGTGCTAAGCTTCTCATATCCTTAGGATATTAGTGTGTGCTGAGTCTTATTAAATCTTATATCCTGAGTACGGGTTAGTGTGTGCTGAGCCTTACCCCATAGCAAGGATGGGTTAGTGCGGGCCGAACCACAGATCCTGATATGGGTTAGTGTGTGCAGAGCTTTTCCAATTTTTTCTTTTTCTTTTTCTTTCTTTCTTTCTTTTTTTTTTGAGACTCAGTCTGTCACCAAGGCTAGAGTGCAGTGGCATCATCATAGCTCACTGCAGCTTCAAACCTGGGCTCAACCGATCCCCCTGCCTCAGCCTCTCAAGTAGCTGGAACTACAGGTGGGCGCCACCATGCCAGGCTAATTTTTCTCATTTTTTGTAGAGGCGGGGTTTCGCTCTGTTGCCTAAGGCTGGTCTCGAACTCCTGACCTCAAGCAATCCTCCGGCCTCGGCCTCCCAAAGTGCTGGGATTACAGGTGTGAGCCACCATGCCCGGCCCTTTTCAAATCTTGTATTCTGAACACGGGTTAGTGTGTGCTGAGCCTTCCTGAGGGTGGGTTAGCGTGACCTTGAGCCCGTGGCAGGCGACACAGATGTGTGGGAGGCCAGGCCGGAGTCGGCTGTGCCCCCACCGTGGAGGCAGGTCTGGGGGACCGCAGAAGCACGGACAGCCTACACACCCACCTGGCTCACCTCGGCGTCCATGGCCATGTCCTGGATGTTGGGCCCATCCCCATCCCGCTTCGGGATGGCGGGCGGCTCAGCAGAGGCCCCGCGACGCTCTCCCTCCTCCCAGCCGCTGCGCTGGCAGGGCCCGTCATCCTCTGGCGAGGCCTGGCTCAGCCGGATGAGGTTGCTAAAGTTGGAGTCAGACTTGGAGCCTGCAGGTGGCTTGCGGGCCTTGTGGCGGCCGGGCAGGCGGCTGCCGTAGAAGGCCAGGATGGGCTCGGGGCCCGAGTCTGGCACGCGCCGGCCAGGGGCGGCCGCCTTGAGAGGGGTCAGCATGTCGGAGACCATGTCGGCGCGGGCCTCGCCCCACAGCGCGCGGCCCGCCTCCTGCAGGCTCAGGTCGTCCAGCTGGTCGATGGCCCTCTGCACGCCCGGCGCCTTCTCCTCTCGGAAGAAGGGCCCGCCGCCCGCCACGCCGCCCATGCCCACGGCCTCCTCCTCCTCGGCCAGGCGGTAGTAGGGCGGCCCGTCCTCTGTGGCGGCCACGACGGGCTTGCCCTCCACCTGCAGCGAGAGGCGGCAGCCGCGCAGCGACAGCTGGTAGTAGCGGGTGGTCTCGTGGGCGCTGCGCAGCTGCTGCATGGACACGAAGGGGTGGCGCAGCGCCGCGCTGGGGCTGATGCGCTCGTGCGACTCCCAGGTCAGCATGCGCTTGATCAGCTCCACCATGCTCTTGAGGTCGGCGTGCTCGGCCAGCGCCTCGCGGTCCGGGAAGGTCAGCCGGCCCGCCGCGCCGCCGCCGTTCACTGTCTCGATCTGGTCCAAGGACTTGAGCATGTACTTGCGGCGCTCCAGGGGGCGCACCTGGTGGGCACGGGGCGCAGGGTTGACACGCATCCCGGAGTAGGGCCCGGGCACTCCCGCTGGGGGACCCACACGTGACCCCCGACTTCTAGGTCTGCCCATATCCGCCTTGGAGCTCCCTTGCTGCTGGGAAGGCCGCACCTGATCCTCGCACCAGACCCCGCCTCTCTATTCCAGAAAGTTCCACACCTCGCCCCAGACGTCCAGTCCTCCCCAGCGCCGTGGGTCCAACCCGACTGGCAGCTAGCAGAGGGGCTGCCCTACACTAGGGTGCACCTCTGGTCCTCCCCGGAACCAAACCAGGTCCCTTTTATGGCCACAGCCTCCACACTTGACCGCAGCCCCCCATGCCTCCCGGTGGCCGGCTGAACCCAGAGGCTTCTTGCTGCCTTAGCTGGCGAACTGTCAGAGGACCTGCCAGAACTTTCACTCCTGCCTTCGGCCTCACACAGACCCTTCTTGCTGAGAAAGCAAGAGCCCCAAGTCCTCGTCTCCTCTGCTCTCTAGCCCAGACTCTTGCAGCACAGGTTTGATCACAGCCATGCAGGAGCAGACGGGCCGTCCTAAACCTCTAGTCCCACCCAGGGTCTCACTCAGATCCCTCTTTCTGTTGCAACGCTCACACCCGACCCCAGGCCTCACGTTTTCTCTGTGGTCTAACCCAAATCCCTCATGCTGCACGAGGTGCTGAGCCCAGAGCTGGAGCTGGCAGAGGAGCTGCCCTAGTGTTTCCGTCACACTCGGGATATACCCAGATCCCCCCGCTACAGCAACCCCTACATGTGACCCCCAAACTTCCAGTTCTCCCTGCAGTCTCCCCCAGATCTGTCTTGCAGCAGCCCCGAGAGCTGACCCTCAAACTTCCAGGCCCATCTTTGTTCTCACCCAGATCTTTCCTGCTGTGACAATACCCAAGGCTGACCCACAAGCTTCCAGTCCTCACCGAGGTCTAACCTAGATTTTTCCTTTTTTTGAGACAGATTCTCACTCTGTCACCCAGGCTGTAGTGCAGTGGTGTCATCATAGCTCACAGCAACCTCAAAACTCTTGGGCGTAAGCAATCCTCCTGTCTCAGCCTCCTGAGTAGCTGGGACCACAGGCACTCGACACTCTATTTTTAGTAGAGATGGGGGGGGTCTCACTCTTGCTCAGGTTGGTCTTGAACTCCTAACCTCAAGCGATCCTCCTGCCTCGGCTTCCCAGAGTGCTAGGATTACAGGCATGAGCCACTGCGTCCAGCTCAGATTTATCTTGATGTAGTAGCCCCGACACTGACTGCCCTCACCCCACTTGTCCCCCTACCTTGGTCTCGGCCAGGTAGTCAGCCGAGGACTTGAGCTGCCAGGGGTTGGTGGCGTCAGGGTGGGGGTTGCGCTTGAAGAAGTGGTGGGCCTTGCGGGCAGCATGCAGCAGGTGTGGCTTGGGCAGGCCCTGGGTCTCACAGATGTAGCGCACCTGGTCGTACTCGTTGTTGCCAGGGTAGAGGGGCCAGCCCAGGTGCAGCTCGGCCATGACGCAGCCCAGGGACCACACGTCCACCTTCTCGCAGAAGGGCAGCCCCAGCAGGATCTCGGGGGCCCGGTAGAAGCGCGACTGGATGTACGGCTCCTTCACGTAGCGCACCTCGCTGAAGATGCTGGCGGAGCCGAAGTCGATCACCTGTTGGGGGTGGGGAGGAGGGGAGCGGGCGGGTCGAGCTGCAGGGACAGTGGCCTGGGCCTCCCCTGCCATCTCGCACCTGGTGTCTCTCTGCACCTGTCATTCGACGCTGCCCGTCTCTGTGTCCGTGAGTCTATCTCTTGTTTATGTCCCTACCTGTGTCTCTCCGGCCTTTGTCTCGGACGTTGTCTGCTCTGCCTCTGCTGCTGTCCCTAGAATCATGCTGTGACGGACGGACCCGTTTCTCTCTCTCCCACACCTTGTCCAAACAAATCTTTTGCTCCACCTTCCAGACAGACTCCGACGCTGCCCCACCCCCGCCCCCACTGATTCCACTGACGCAGGGGCCTCCTCCCCGCCGTCCCCGGTCTGGTCGCCCCACATGA